AGGGCTTGATGTGGTGTTCTTCATTGAAACCCTAGATGGGTAAATTTTTGTTTAATAGCTGAAAGTTTGATCTTTAATTGATATTACATAGTTTGGATATAGCTTAAAAACATTGTTTATGAGCTTTATATGTTGTTTGGAATTGTAAGGAATTTGGTTTATAGATTAAGGAAGAAGTGACTTAATGGGTTAAGTCCTTAATTGATTAGTTGAGATGTTTGTGAATATAATACCGTTAGAATAAACTAGATAAGGGATTTGATGAATAAATTCAAGTTGTATATGTAAAGATTTCTTATTAATCATCAAGGATAGTATAACCTTAATCATAAAGGGTAACATGGATGAACATAAATGTGTGATTCATTGTGTTAAAAAGGGTTATGGAATAATTATTGAACAGGGAAACAAGAGGAAGATACAAGCAAAGAAGTCTCGATTTCAGGTTATCATCCAAACAAGCTGTAAGAGACAAGGTGAGTAATAATGCATTTACTTACAAGTTATTGAATAAACATCTTTTAGTTACATATATGTACATGATGTCTAATCATCAAGGTTTTGGTATATGATGATGATTAAATTATGAAGAAAAACTCATCATAACTCGGAATGGAGTTAATATGATGAATTGTGTTTGGAGTGAAATTTGAGAGTCTTGGAATGGAAACTAAAAAGGGTATATGGAATTGGTTAATAGGTTAAGCAATGGAGAAAGGAATTGGTGATGTTATGATATTAGTGGTATTTACAAACTTTGTTATGATATTAGTCATATTTAGTTTTTTAAAATTCGACGAATTAACAATTTAAGGTCCTCGATTAATCCCCGTCTAGTTGATTAATCTCTTAACCTCAGTCCACCGACTAGCTAACGTCGAACGTTTTTTTACAACCTTGATTGTAATGACCGATTTATTATTAATTTAACATGTTTATATCTGTGTTTCACGTTTATATATGTTTTGTTAGTATTTTTTCATCATATAATTTAATTTTACGCTACGCACGACATACACCTAATTATAAATAAACAAAGACAACAAATAAAATATATAAAGCATGTTTGAAATCGAAATTGTTGTCACATATAGTCAATAAAAAAAACAAATATACATATCAATAATTTATCATCTCTTTGTAGCCCATTTATAGTCAATGTATTTGTAAAACACATAATAGTGACAGAAATCGTCTTTTAAAATGTTAACTAATTGTTTTCTTAAGAATTGTATTTATTTATTCCACAACATTTATGTAAAATGCACAAATGTTTTTTACTCATTATTCTTGATAATAGTTAAACAATATAAACTATCAATATAGCGGGGATAGCTCAGTTGGGAGAGCGTCAGACTGAAGATCTGAAGGTCACGTGTTCGATCCACGTTCACCGCACAAAATCATTCTTTTTTTTTTTTTTTTTTACGGACAATGTTGTCGGATTCGTCTGGTTTGATGACATTAACGTTATACCATACATGTGTTCTCATTCCATCCTCTCAAAACATCCAAAATTTTGCATTCCATTGTTGTTTTCTGATTCCCACCTATTTATCTCAATCTCATCTCTTCTAAAAGGTTAGATCTTGAGTCTCCTTTTGCTCAAGTTCTCACCTTCCAACACCAATTCCCCATCCTTAATCTCCTTTTTTCTTATCGTTAATCAAAACCCAATTGCTTGTTTCCAAGTTGTCGATTTTGATTAACTAAAAGAAAAAAAGAGAAAATCAAACAAGGAGATGGTGGTTATAAAAGGAAAAAATAAGTTAGGATGGAGGAATCTAGGATCGGTTTGATTCTTCGAGGATTTTAAGAAAAAAAAAGGTTATGGTAATTAATTCTTTTAATGTGATGATAAGTAAAAAAAGCTCCACATTCGTAGCTCTCTAATCTCTTTCTCATCACCAAGAGATCTTGGCAATGTTCATGTGAACTTCGAATGCCGATCTCGATTCCAGACACAGTCGGCATCGGCATTCGATTCCTATTCCATTGCTTTGGAGGTGGCCTTCTCTGAGACTCAAATTTGAGTCTTTTGATTAGGTTGTGCTGTTATATATATTCTTTTCAAACAAGCTTCCACTTCCTCTTCTTCCTTTTCTTTCCAATCTAGCCCACTACTATCTTTTTGTTTGGTTGTTTGTGTTGAATGTTGTTGGGGCTTTTGTTTGTGGTTTGACGGATTCCGGAGTGGGTTTCTGATTCCGTGAGAAATGGATTCCCGTAAATTCGATAGTGGCTTCATTGGTGCTGAAACCGGTGCTAACATGGAGCCCGATTATGTCGAAAAGGACCCGAAAGGCCGATACATAAGGGTATTAAATTGTGACATTTCTTTATCTTAATTTCGATTGGAATTTGATAGAAAAATAAGGTGGCGGAAAGAGTCATTACATTCCATTCCGTTTCTTCTTTTGTTGATTCCATCGTAACATCTCATTCCGCCATTTTATTTTTCTATTAAATTCCAACCGAAAATAACCAAAATTGTTTCTTTGTTACTTTTACAGTATCGAGAAGTTCTCGGTAAAGGTGCATTCAAGACAGTGTAAGCTTCAATAACTTCATCTTCTTTGTTTCAAATCCTTTTAATTAAATAATAACGTTTTCATTTTCCTTTTTTTTGTTAAACTTAGTTACAAAGCATTCGACCAAATCGACGGAATTGAAGTTGCATGGAACCAAGTGAGGATCAATGACGTATTACAGTCTCCAGACGACTTTGGAAAGTTGTATTCCGAAGTTCGTATTCTTAAATCACTAAAACACAAGAACACCATCAAGCTTTTCGATTCATGGATTGATACCAAGAACAAGACTTTGAACATGATCACAGAGCTCTTCACGTCAGGAAATCTACGCCAGTAAGCCGTGTTCCATTTTTTTTAATGTTCTTGATGTATATAAATATTTATATAAATGGATATCGATCATGTATTTGATGTAGATATAGTAAGAAGCATAAAAGTGTTGATATGAAAGCGATTAAGAATTGGGCAAGACAGATTTTGCATGGTCTTGATTACCTTCATAGTCAAAACCCTCCGGTGATTCATCGGGATATTAAATGTGACAACATTTTTGTTAATGGAAACCATGGTGAAATTAAAATCGGTGATCTTGGATTGGCTACTGTTTTGCAACAACCAACTGCTAAAAGTTTCATAGGAACCCCTGAATTTATGGCACCCGAGCTTTATGAAGAGGAATATAATGAACTTGCTGATATATATTCATTCGGTATGTGCATGTTGGAAATAGTAACTTTTGAGTACCCGTATAGCGAATGCAAAAACCCAGCTCAGATTTACAAGAAAGTTACTGCTGTAAGTTAATTTTAAAATTGTTATATCTATTAGGATGAGATTAACTGTTCTGACACCATGTTAGATATGTGAAATTCTGGTTTTCTCTCCAAATGAGTCATTGAGGAGAGAGATTGACTTTGACATATATAGAGGCACATGAAACTGTCTCTAACTGATGTGGACATTGACAATATTTGTTAATAGAAAAAAAATTGAGATTATAAATGTTTTTGAATAGGATAAAATTAGCTCTGATACCATGTTAGATATATGAAGTCTTGATTTTCTCTCTAAAAGAACCATTGAGGAGAGAGAAACACTCTGACACGTATAGAGTCAGACAAGACTGTGTCTGACAGATGTGAAACATTAATGTGAAACATTAACAGCACCTGATAACGAAATGAAATCAAGATTATGAAAGTTTTTGTATGATGAATAGGGGATTAAACCGGCTTCTCTTGAGAAAGTTAGTGATCCGAAAGTGAAGGAATTCATAAAGAAATGTTTGGTTCCGGCGAACCAAAGGTTATCAGCTAAGGAGCTTTTGAAAGATCCGTTTTTGGAGGTCATGAATCTCCGAAAGCCAATGCGGAGTCCATTGCCAAGATCGTTAAGCCATGTAAGCACTGCAAATCATGCAGCTGTTGAACTTTGTAGAGTGTATGAAGGAAACGAGTTTAGGCTCAAAGGCACCAAAAACGACAAGAATTCGGTTTCTTTAACCATGCGAATCGCTGACCCAAGTGGTGAGTAGTTACTATTCTCAAGTTTTCGTATCCTTCAAGTAGCAATTACTTTTACATGGTTATCTTAGTTGTAAGGAGGTGAGAATCTATAAGACTGTATGTGGGGGGCCACAAGTGGCACATATTTCTTTTTTATAAAACTTATAAAACAAAGTGACCATCTTTCATTGGTTGTAGGCCAAGTGAGGAACATACATTTCCTATTTTACATCAACACGGACACCGCACTATCAGTCTCACACGAGATGGTTGAACAGCTCGAGTTACAAAAGCATCATGTGTCTTTCATCACCGACTTTATCAACGAAGCAATCACAAGAATCTTACCTTCATCAAACACTTTGGGTTTTTTAGATCTTAATGATGTTTCAAAAGGGAGAGCGATAACAAGTAGTCGTTCATTTCTTTCATTATGTGAAAGTGATAAGATCAAGGAAATGGTAGAATTAAAAGCAACAGAATCAGGGTATAAAAGATGGTGTAAAGAGATGAAAAGGGTGAGGAAGAAGGGAGTTGAAGCCACTAGAAAGAGATGTATAATGATTTCATGAGATTAGAGAATATTGTGTTGATTTGAGAGTAGGGAAGGGGTATGTATGTTAGTATGTATCCTTGTGCAATTTAACTTTGTTCCTTTTTCAAATAAATGCATACATAATAGAGTCTAGTCGCATAATGAATGAGATTAAATGACCATTTTACCCTTACATTCCAACAAAGAACTTTCATAGCATTCATCAATTCCAACATGGGAGGAGTTGGTAGGAGAAAATAAGAAAGGCAAATAGGTAAATGATTGGTGTCTAAATACATTAATCCAACTTTTTTGCTTAACTCATTAAGTCATTGTGTCAAGATTAAGTCAAAAAGAAACAAACCATGTATAACTATCTAGATTAAGTGCTTAACCCATTAAGTAAAAAAAAAAAAAAAAAAAAAACAGCTCCTTAAAACTCGATACTTATTCATAATAAGACAACCTGAATTTTAGTCCTCACGCCAGCATTTACCACATTTCTCACAGGTGAAGTTTATTGTCATGGGTTCATCAGCAGACCTTGTTTGAAACTGGATGTATGCAGCCTTGTTGTGACCACAATCTGGGCAATGAGCTGCAAGAGACAAAGAAAATCATAAATTAAAGTTGCAAAAAGAAAAAGTGCATCGATTTACTAAAATTGTGAAGCATATAAATACCTTGATCTGTTTTTGGTGCATTCTTCATGTCATCTTGGGTGATGATGGGGTCAATCTCCTTTTTAACCAAACGTTGCTTTCTTTTGATCTTGACCTGTAAAAGGGAAGAAAAAAATGCATTTAACTACAAGGAAAAGGAAAAAACAATGTGTTGCATGATTGAGTATATGATAAATTGATAATTTTGATTACCTTCTGCTCTATTTGGCTAACATATGGACATGTGGGGCAGAAAAATCGGGCAGGAAGATGCAAATGTGGCAACTCATACTTCAACAACATCCCACAAGTTGGGCAGAATTCCATATCTACAAACCTTTGTAGCTAATGCTCTGAAAAGGTACACAGAATGCAGTTCTCAAATGTGTGTGTGCGCTACTGGAATGAGTTGATTCTAAACATGAATGAACTAGCAAAGATTTTGATTGAAAAGTGATAAAGTAAGAAGTTGTATAGATGGATAATGGATTCTGTTTTCACTGAATTATTTGAGAGAGTGGCAATTCATCAAACAGGTTATGTGCACAATCCATGCTCGTAACAAAATAGTGAAACGTATGTACAGACGAGAATGGCGAGTTATCGGTTCGTAACAGGTGACTTTTCCGATCAAAAATAGACATCCAGTAATAATCACACGCAAACAGATACGGTTTATAGGTGGAATATACAAAATGGGGAAACTGTAGTATGTATGAGATTATGTATACATGTGTATGTATATATTGATAAATGTGTACAAATACCTGTATCGTAGTGTATTGCAGATTAAATTAAAGAGAAGCGGCGGCGACGATGGTATGGTGGTGGAGGCAGCGTCGACGGCAATCTGATGTCAATTGAGAAAGGCAACCGTGGGTTTGTTCTTAAAGACTTAAACTTTGATTCTTTTTTCTTATTTGGCCCTAAGATCTTAAACCCTTAGCAAATTTTACCCCCAAAAAAACAAAATGACACAAAAGATATTTTTTTCGTGATTTTGATGTCGTATTATTTTTTCTTTTAAATTGAATATCATATTTTCCAATTTAAGTTGGAAAATGGTGTTGAAGTGACATGAAAATCACAACATTATCATATTTTTTGATTTTGATATTATATTTTTTGCTTTTTTTTTAAATCACTACATTATCAATTTTTTTATTTATTTCAAACATCTTCGTCCCAAAGATTTAATTCTACTATCCAATGTATTAATATGATTTGGTTGTTTCAAATCAAACATTATTTCATGTTTCTCGAAAGAACACCTCAAATCTAACAATAAGTTGTTAATGAGTTATACAAAAGCATATAGAGAAAAGGATATTGTGATGAGATGTTTGATCTGAATATACTAAATTAAAAGCTATATAACAAAAAAAGATACTTGGGATTAAGATGCTCGAAAACAACAAAAAAATGATAATATAGTGACTTAAAAAAAAGTGTCAAAATCGAAAAAATTGATAATATAGTGTCTTTCATGCACCGTCAGCATGTTACGTCAATACAATTTTTCAACTCGACATGCAACTAGGTAATCGGAAGTGTCCCGGTGAAACAGTCAACATTGAATAAAATTGAAAAATATGAGATTCGATTTGTAACAAAAAAAAATATATCAAAATAAAATAAAAAATGAAAAATATCTTTTATGCAATTTGCCCAAGAATGGCTAATTATATAAAACCCACTATAGTTTTGTCAATATCCGATTTAAACACAACTATAATTTAGTCAATATCCGGTTTAACCACCGTATATTTGGAGTATATCATCAGGGGTGGTTGACGGTGGAGTTCGTGTTGTAGTTCTAACATACACCGTGGATTTCGATGAGGCTAAACCTCCACTCTTACTCCCACTATACGAGAATTCTGTTCAGATTTTATTGGAAGAGGTAGAAGGTGGTTGCGTTGCAACAATGGAATATTTGTAGTAAAATGTTTCGTCCTCGTCCTCGTCTATGTATCTCCCCATTTTCGCAGCAACTAAAGCATCAAATCATGGATAGTCTTCAAAGTAACATCTTACTTGAACACAAGTTGTTGCTTCGCCGAAAAGTATCTATATCGAGATGGAATTTTGCGAACACCAAAGTTGTTTCAGCATTCTACGAAACCCTAAATCGTCGATCCAATAAGCAAAATCGATTTCGGGAGCTAATCTCGCAAGTACACCCTCATCTAAACAAGATTGTTGATGCTTAAATTCTTCATTTATCACCACACTTCAATGTTTTATTTTGGGGATATCCCGTGAGATTTATTTTGGAGAAAAAGACGTGAATGTTTGGTATTCGCTATAGCCTATTGTCGTCTTTCATCAGATAAGGAGAATCGGTACTTCATCGACCGACAAAAAATACATCTGAAAAACCTAGAACTCCATCCAGACAGACATACACCTTAAACAATTTGACCATTCATTGCCGACAAGGAAGCCACGTCAATTTCAAATGCTTATGTGGCTTATGAAACTAGCTATGTTAGGTATGAGTGACTAAAAAAGCAGGTTAACATCCACATTATGCCCCCATAAAGTATGGAAAAAAATTAAGGGCCTAATTCGACAAATTTCAAATACGCTATTGGACTAATGTGTCATTTTCTCAATTTAAATCAACATTTTTAATTTACTAAGTTTATTAATTTATAAAAATATTAGACATGTTTTCTCTATGTATGCATCGAATGTTCAAATGATTTTAGCATGACAAATAAATATCTTGAAGCATGTTAAAATTTAATTTGATTGATATACACATTATATTTCAATTGATATTGATTGAGGATGATCAAATACAAATCAAATCAATTAAATTAAGCAACACGGTAGAGTATGTAAGAGCGGCCATGCAGTGACAATCCTGGGATGTACGAGTGGTGCGGTCGCATGAGGCCTCCGATTTTAAAGGGTCTCCAAATTTAGGGAAAATATATAGTAATGATGTTGGTATTTTCATAAAATATATTTTATGTGTTTTTAATTTAAGAAAAATAGCAGTTAGCTATATCCACAATGTAACTTTTGGTTGCAATTTTAAGTAATTTTAATTGTTAAAAAATTCAACAAAATCAAAAAATCAAAATCTTATCATAAATTCTATAATCTATCAACAATTTAAGGAAAGTATGTATAAAAAAATACATATATGTTTCTAATATAAGTTCAAGCAAATGTTATAGTTTTTATAAAACTCACCAAAAGATCGTTGGTGTTGTTCGTCTCTCTCGTCGAAAATTGTTTTTTTTTTCTTTTTCTTTTTTGAATCTTGATATCTCTCTGATTTGTTGGTAGTATCATTGTCCTTCTCTAAGTCCTCTAAGTGACTCTCAAACTATAGGTTAATATATCTTATCTCTTTAAATTTCCCAAATCTCACCCGTGCTTAACTTCTTTCTCTTCGAGGACAAATGCTCTTTTTTATTTGAATGATTTATTTATGAATTCATAATGAAGTAGAGAAAAAAAAACAATGTTCTTTGTTTCCCTTTATATATAGTATAGTGTCTTGTGAATTGTGTTTATCACTTGATTAATTTTTGTTTTTCAATTTTTGGTATAGAGGGGTGAGAGTAGAACATTGGCAAATTTTAGGGTGGGGTGACAATGGGCTTCTCAATTTTGGCTTTTAATATTAATACTATACTATAGTCTAATATTTAGAAAGGTTAGAAAACAAAATTTTTGTTTGATGTTCTAACTGTTTTAAACATTAACTTTTGATAAATATTACAAATATATATTGTTAAGTTAGTAACACTGAATATTTTTTTTTTTGTTAAAAAAAGATGCCTCTATATAGAAAATTTAAATTTGGTTGCTCTAAAGTAAAAGAAAACAAAACGAATAACAATTTATTCATAGTCAAAGAGGATCTATCAATTGTTTTATCGTCAAAAAATATTGGAATACCATCATAACGAAGAATCAGTTGTGGAAGAACATAGAGAAGAAGAAGCTGAATTACGTATGCTAAAAAACATGGATGAAGTTCATGAAGCTGTGGAAAAACCTAGAGAAGAAGTTCATGATGTTGTGAAAGAACCTAGAGAAGAAGAAGTTGAACTTCAAGTACCAGAAGACATGCCTTGTGTAGATGAAGACATAGCCACCTTGAATGGTATGATGATGACAAAGAAGATATTCCAATAAACATGTATGATCCTAGAAACTGAAACATCTAATGAGTGGATACATGATGTTATGGTAATGAATTTACAATATGTTAACAACTTTGAGTTTTGAATTTAGTGATAGCAAATTTACTAAATAATATTTTACAATAAAATTTTTATGGGATCTCATTTTGATTTTCGCATAAGGCCTCCGACAATTTTTTATGGGATCTCATTCTGATTTTCGCACAAGGTCTCCGACATATCAAGGTCGAGCCTGTGACCATGAATCATGATGCAATGTTTTTACCTTGAAACTCTTGTTTCCTTTCGCTACAATGTCATTATGAATTTGTATCATATTTGAATCAACATTTTAGTTTACTAAGTTTATTAATTTATAAAATTATTGGACAATTTATAACTTACTAATTTTATTAATTATAAATTTATTGGACGTTTTTTTTTTGTTTTTTTTATCTAGAGAACTCACATGATTTTAGCATGACAAACACATATTTTAAAAATAATAATAATTGATAAATTAATTGTGACATTGATGCATGCATGGATGGCGATCCACCAATTATGATTGGTTGCGACGATCGGAACAAATCGGAAGGCGCGTTAGTAACTTCGGTTTCGATCTCGTTTCGGAAACCAACGGATTTTCATTTCGAACGCATTGGTTCCAATTCCGAATGCTTCGGTTCCGATGGACTCAGTGACGTTGGTTACTTGCATTCCGAAGGGCTTGGACGTGAACATGGGATTTGCATGATAACTTACGTGGGTTAAAGGCAGGAGTTTCCATTTACTCGGTGCGTCTATTTCGCAAGAATTTTAGTTTCCAATAAGCCTCTAGAGGTAGTTTCTTCTAGTAGTAAGTTATTGTTAGTGGGCAGTTTCTTCTAATAGTCAATTGTTGTTAGTGGATAGTTTATTTCCTTGTAACCGTTGTTTGTGTCATGCTTTAAGTTGGGTCTCATTTGTAGAATCAATGGTGTTTACCAGCAAGCTGGAGGGCTTTTTGTGTTTTAATCTTTAAAATAATATATTTAATGTCTATTATGCTGGAAATTTTTGTATACACTATTATTATTATTATTATTATTATTGTTGTTGTTGTTGTTGTTGTTGTTGTTGTTGTTATTGTTGTTATTATTATTATTATTATTATTATTATATTGCATAGAAACGTGCAGAGCATCAGAGTAAAATGATCATTTTGCATCAGTCAGATTTTCAATCAAACAACATGATTTCTTACTCAGTCAGATTTTCTTACTCAGACAAACTTTTATCAGTCAGCAACTATCAAACGGGACCTCAAACTTTGTCAATTGAAAGAGGCTTTCATGATTTTGATAGAATTCAAACCAATATGTATTGATTTGTCTTCACCGATATTCAATCTATAGGTCTAGATTGACTATTAAATCTATCATTTATTTCTTGTTTCCGTTGCGCATCAGACATGTAAAAAACAATTCAATATTATGGGATAACTAAGTAATACATTTAATTATTTTAAGACAAAACTGCAAAAACGGTCCCTGTGGTATGCATTTTTTTGGGGTTTTAGTCCAAACCATGACTTTTTTGGATTGGTAGTCCTTTTGAGCTAGTTTGTATGTGGAAAAGGCCCCTCCCCAAATTGAAAAGACTAAAATACCCTTAATAAATTTATTTTTCATTTTTCTTTCTTTTTTATCTATTTTATAATTAATAAATAAATACAAAAAATAACTCTCTCTCTCTCTCTCTGTAGATTAGTGTTCCAATTTGTCTCTCATTTGGAACGACCACCATCAACTGGAACCATCTCTCGTTCTTTATCCTAATCTAACAAACATACACACACTATAGACTAGAAGCCTCATTCTTTCTGATAGATTTGATGATGATTTGGAGGCTTGATATTTGAAGGGTACAAATCCAAGTTCATCCCCTACCAGATCGGAATCACTATCTCCATCGAGACCAAGCATCCACCTTTAATGGAGCCTCCACCGACAACAACTAAGTTTCGCTCCTCTCCACTATTTCTTCTTCTTCTGCCTAATATGACACTTTGATCTCCATCATTGGACCAGGGGCACCGGGGACCAAATGACGATGATGAAGAATTACATGCTAATCGGTGGTGGGTATGACGGTGCATAGAGTCGGAGATGTAGCCATGTGGAACAAATCAATTCTCCATCAGTGAGATGCGATTCCATCGATAATTAATCTGTTAATGGCACTAGGAAGAAGATTTGATCAAAGCATGTTGCAGATTCTTGATTTTTGTGTGCTCATCGATGATGGAGGGTTGGGCCATTGCTTCTTCTTCCCTGGTGAAGGGAGAATACCATATCGGAATCCACAAAAATCAAACACATTTCATCCAATTTCAAACCCAAACTCACCTCTGTTCCTATTCTCTAGTTACAAATCCAGACCTGCGTAAGGGCTTCTGTCCATGTTGTTCATCATCACAATTAGGGCTCCATCTTCACTCAAGAACATATTAGAGTTTTATTACCACCAAGTTGTCGCACAGACCACCACCATTAGAGAAATTAGAGTTCTTAAGAAGAAAGGGGCGAGGAACAACATAAATCGAAGCAGATCTCCATATACAATCGAAGTTTTGAGATCTAAGTTCAATACACACACGAAAATGAAAAAACTCACACTTGAAGGAGACAAAAATGTTGTAAACCCAGTTGAAGAAATATGAACTTGTGTGTGTTTTATCTTTGATTTGCAGGTCTAGTTTAATAGTGTGGTGGTATGCGATGGGAATGATGATGTGAATGGGGTATTGGTTTTCGATGAACTGTAACAAATATGAGTTTGCAGGTGGTGTGTTGATGGTGAAAAGATGACGGACCTGTGGGAAGAAGATGAAGGAGTAGTTGGGTTTTTTTGGTGAGAGAGAGAGAGAGAGGTGGGTCCCATATTTTTTATTAATAAAGCTTTAATTTAAATTGAAAAAAAACATAAAAATTTATTAGAAGGGTATTTTAGTCTTTTCAGTTTACCGAAGGACCAAAATCACAAACAAACTACCTCAAAAGGACCACCAATCCAAAAAAGTGATGGTTTGGACTAAAACCCCAAAAAAATGCATACCACAGGGACCATTTTTGCAATTTTGTCTAAAAAAAGATGTTATTTATTACTTACTTTAAAATAAGACAAAAATGGTCCCTGTGGTATGCATTTTTTTGGGGTTTTGGTCCAAACCACGAGTTTTTTGGTTTTGTGGTCCTTTTGGACTGGTTTGTTTGTGAGAATGGTCCCTGTACTTAAC